CAGAGAGTTTGCACACAGTCTCATCAAATTTTTGTGTTGTTTCCTGAATGGAAGTTTCAAGTTTCTTTAATTCATTTTCCAGTGCCTGGGGAGGGGAAGGACAGGAGCAGCAATATTATATCTGGAGGAACAAAGAAGCTCTGATACAGTACATCACATGCTGGAGAATGCACAATATGGAACTGTATGCTTCAGCCCAAAGGTCCCAGAAATTACTTGTTTGGAAGGAGAGTGCTGCCAGGCTACCAAGTTATGTTGTCCAAATACCACTTTGAAGAATAAATATCATGGTATTATTTGTGTATGGCACCAGCAACTCTGGGAATGGAACCTGGAAAAAACATTTTAGGAATACTGGTGCATTTGTGAAGGAAAGTTACTTTTTCCTAGATACCACAAGTTTTGGCACATATTAACTGGTATAAGTAGAGACTGCCTTATTTTACTGTCTAAGCTAGGACTTATTTAATATGCCACATAATCTTTGTTAATGTGCTCTTCATTTATTCTATTTATTAGTATTCATTTTTAGAAGTAGCTCCTGAGGAAGATCAGAATCTTTGGTCATGAGCAATGTGAACAAAACCATTCATTTTCTCATTTTAATTTACCCTTCTATACTTTTCTTTTTCTTCATTCAGCTCCTTGACTTTTTTCTCATGTTCTCTAAATATTTTCTTTTCTTCATCATTCCAGACATGCTCAGGCTTGGATATAAAAGGAGGTGGAGGAATATCCTGGAAGTATTAAAGGAAAATATGCTTCAAAAGCAATATTAAGTCTCCACCAGCACACTAACACACTATAGCACGCACCGAATTTAATGAAAGGTATTTCTTGGTGGTAAGGAAACACAGCTCACCATTTTCAAGATGTCTTCCTTTCTGACTTCTAGCACCCCACCCATCATGTCATTAAGAGCACGCAGTCTTTCATTGTCCTGTGAATGGCCACAAAAAAAGTTACAGTACAAGAGGAAGTGTGTTAATTTGAAGTTTGGGAATGGTAATAGGGTAGTTCATATCTAGATCACCCATATGAATATACTGTGTGTCACTAGTAGATTAATGCTCTTCAGTGATGTATCCGAAATTCTAAAAGCTCAGAGTTTTTTCTGGTGGACAGGTGTCCATATATGAAATTACTTAGTAAAACTGCCATTCTGGCAATTTTGGAAAGAATACATAGGCATTGACTACTCCTGGCCAGTTGGCAGACTGGGATGAAGGAAGTTGTAGCATCTCTTTCGGGGCTAGAACCATCTTAGGTGTTTCACAGATGCATTTTAAAGCCAGAGGAAAACATTATGATCTTCTAGTCTGATCCTTGAAGAACAGAGGTCACTCAGTCAACAAACACATATCAAGCACAAAGCTCTTGATTGAGCAGTAGCATGCATTTAGAAATGTATCTAGTCCTCCGTCACCTCATATGGTATTTTTAATTGCTACTAAGCAGATTTTTAAAAATTGTGAGCCTAATACTAAATCTTTTCTTCCCCAGCTAGTCTATGTAGTTCTGACTGTAAATGACAAGAAGAGGGAAAAGGCACACATCATCATTACCTACCATTTTAAATTGATTCTCCCATACTACATTACTGGAACATTCCAGTGCAGCAGTAACTAAATCAGCCTAACCAGAGACAAAGGCCTGTTCAGTAAAGAGGATACTACTTTAAGTACCGTAGCAGCAAGGCGTCTTTCCATTTCAAGCTTCACCATCATTTCTGCTTTCTCTCTCTCTTGTTGAGTCAAGTATTTTTCAGCTTTAATCTGAATGAAGAAAATGAGGTTCGTATCAGGGTTCTTTTCTCCGAACATAATCACATGTGGACTATTTGGAAAGATATTGTAATACCAATTCTTACTGCTTTTTGTATCTCTGCTCTATGATAATATTCCTCAAGAAGAAAATTGTTCTTTTGGACAGCTCCAAAAGCTACATTTAAAAATGCTGAAATACAAACTACCATCATGTTTGTTGATGTTAGTTGTGTTTTGCGCATACCTTTTCTGACAGTGGAATAACACAGACTGGTGGGAGAGAAGTGGAGAAAGACTGACCAAAAGAGCAAATGAGATCAGTGGAATATGTTGCATAAGAAATATGGTATTTCTTTATAAATCATCAATTGAATTTATAAGTACAGTGCTAAGTATTTAGCACCTAGATACTTAGTTTGATACTACTTAGTTTCAAAATGATGCTTAGAGAAAACAGAGAGACCCTCATCTACGGAAGTAATCCCTGCAAGCCTGGTTTGAATCTCATTGTCAGGAACAGAGGGAAAATCTACTGAATGTATGGGCAATTAAAAACTTTTAACAGCAATAAATTAATACTGTATACATTTTATTCATTTTGGATTGACTTATTAAGAGCTTTCTCCCTAAAAAGGAAAGGGAAGCAAAAGAGTCAAAAAGATGATTTTAAGTACACAGACACATCTTTTTTAAGGCTCTTCAGTACTGACACAGTGTCTGGAAATATGAAGAATTAGAGAACTGTATTTGATTGGGTGAAAGAGAAAGATTTATTTTGCAGACACCTCTGAATCCTGAACAGTGAGCGTTTGCTCCGGTATCTCATCATCTGTAAGAGCTGGCTCCCATACATCTAGTTGGAGGTCAAGTTGTGCCAAGATTTCTCGGATCCTCAGGTTTCTTTCTTTCACTTGTGCTATCTCCTGCTCCTTTTGTTGTGCAACTATGTCAAATTCCTTATTAAAAGCAGTTTTCACTTTGTAAATGATGTCCTGGAATACCAAAAAAGGAAAGAGCAATACTGCATAGATCAAATCCATCCGTGACTATATACCACTTCTCAAGCCATCAGAATCATAAATGTGTGTATTTGTATGTATGACAGGGATATAAACTGGTAAAGTCCTTTTGTGAAAATCGTAAGGGCACAGTTCAAGCTTTGTTAAATGGAGGCGGACAAATTATCAGGTTTTTTTTTTTGTTTTGCCCCTAGAAATTGTTATTGCTTTTCCTCTACATATTTGCCATTTCACAAAGATTCTGAAAGAAACATACTGCTGCCAAAACTAGACAAAATATTAGGCTGCCTTGTATTTGCTGTTTTTTCCACTTTTCAGCTGAAAGAAGAAGGGCCTTCAAAGAAAAAAACATATTCCCTGTAAATCCAGATATTGTAAATCACAGGTGCAGGGAGGCAGAGTTAAGGACATACTTTCCTTATTCTTAAGTGATGCAACCTGCAGTTTTGATATGCTTTCATGGGATTTTCTGTCTGATATATACAAGTAAATGTGCCCATTAAATAAACAAACATTGGAAACTAATTTTTTTAAACACCTGAGACCTTTATCACGATTTTAAAAAGCATATATTCTTAGTGGATAAATTCTTCCTTTAGCCTAAATAATTTATTTCAACAAAGAAAAGTAGAATATTAAGAGAGAAAACCACGTGCGGCTCCTACGGTGCCAATTTACTAAAATGAAACATGAAAAGGATTTCAGTTCTATCACTACACATTTTGAGATGCTTAGCTGTTTGCAATTTGTGTTACAATAAATATTTGTGTCCATGATTATTTCATTGATTTCTACTATAATAATAAGCTAGGATGTAATAAGGCAGGATGGCAGATAAGGTACAATGTTGCTGGGAGAAAAGAGGCTGTGCTCAATGTCTAGTCAGCCATCGAGCTCTCAGCAAGCCAGCTGCATAGGCCAAGAACACTGAAGTTCTACCTACACTTAGATACAGAACATATGTCTTTAAAGCCAGACAGTAGAAAGATCTTGTTACATCCAAGCTTACATCTAAAAGTGCTCCTCTTGTGTTTCTTCCCCATCTGGTGTATCTACCAGATTTTATATATTACAATGCACAATCATTGAGTTCTGCTACCACTTACAGCTTGAGGAGGCAATGCTTTATAGTGGTTTAACCACTTCTACCCTTGTAGATAAACTTCTTAAGAAGCCTAATCTGTAGCATGTTTACTACTTAATAAACTGGCCAGGATAAGAGAAGTAAGAGAGTCTGATAGTAATGAATAATAAATAACGGAAAGATTGTAAAGTGCAAATGAAGGGATGGCAAGATTGGAGAGAAAGGAAATAGGGTGAGGATGCAGCTGATCTTTCATTCAGCAGCAAATAATATGGGAAGAGGTCATGTTTTCACAGGGCATGCTGAAATGTGCAAGCTAGCTTTGGCTATACAAACTCTTAAACTGAAGCACTAGTGGGCAAATACAGATACCTCAAATTGGGTAACCAATTTCATAAAAATGCTTTTCTTCCAGACCTGAGCTGACAAATCCACATGATGCTCTACTGCACTATGTGCATTTATCAGCTTTCATTTCAGTAGCTCAGAGACCTGTGCAACTCTCCATTGTATAGTGTCAGTATGCCCAGAATCTAACAGTGGCTGCGACTGCTGTGAGAACCAACAGGTATGACGGCATCAATGCAATTTTAAGAAGACATCACCTTCAATAATACTATCTGATTGACTTTCTGCTCCCTGGTGTGCAAGTCCCATTGGTGGTATAGGATAGACGTGTTTCCACCATACTGAGAGCTCAGACTTCCAGTCAGGCAGAAAGATGCACTATCATCAGCCATTATTTCTTCTGCCTTCTCTCCTTCTTCCTTAGATAATACAGTCTCAGACTCAATCTCAAAATTTCTCTTCTGAACCTGTATATCACAAACATGATAACTGTGTTAATTTGGTACACGATCCACTGGCCCATGTATGAAAAAAATCTAGAGGTTATATTCTGCAATTAAGCTCAGTGATCAAAATAATACAAGTTGAAATTATCATATCTGGAATACTGGATCCATTCGTAGGTTCCCCAGTACAAGAAAGACAAGGGCATACTGGAGCAAGGCCACTAATACAAGTAAGGGACTGAAGCATTAACATGAGAGGACAGGTTGACAGAGCTACAATAGTTTAGTCTCAAGAAGGAGTAGGCTTGGGGGGATCTTAGTAACACATATAAAAGCGTGATTGTGGGGAGTAAGGACAGCAGAGCCAGACTCTTCTCAGTGGTGCTCAGCAACAGACTGAGAGGAAATGAGTATACATTGACATACAGGACATCCAACTCAACACAATAAAACACTTTTCCTGTGAGGGTTGTCAAACACGGGAAGAGGTAGCTCACAGAGGTTATGGAATATTCCAATCTTGGATGTATTCCAAACCTGACTGGACACAGCCCTGAGTAAATTGCTCTAGGAGGTCTGGACTAGATGACTTCCAAAGGGCTTTTCTAACCTCAGCTATTCTGGGATTCTTTAGTACTAATACATTTGTTCTGAGTAAAAAAAACATTTAATCTTTATTTATCTTTTTACATTTTTTTTGACAATTTCTACAGGAAGAAAATGGACTTTAGAAATATATCTATGTAAAGAAGGCTTAAGATGCCAACTCAGAACATCCTGATCTGAAATGTCTTCATCCAGTACTTCAAAGAGATTGTACCTTAAGATCAGCTGTCTCAATCTTCTTTAACTGCAGAACTTTCTCCAAAGTTGCCAGCTCTTCTTCACTACGTTCCTTCAGCGGATAATTCGTCACTTCACAAGCCATATGGAAGCACTGTTCAAATTAAAAAGAAAAAACAAAACACAACACAACAAAAAACAAAAATCAACACAAAAATCCAAAGTAAAAGTTTTTCAGAAAGCATCTATCAATTAATTTGTTCAATACCTGAATGCTAAACAGTTATAAAGACTCCTTAAAATCAGGAATAAAATTGACGATCAATTAATATAGGCAATACAGTAAAAACACAGAGGTAAGACAAAAACCATTTGCCTTTTTGGTAATGAAAACGGTTGGTTTAAAATTTGCTTTTTTTCTTTCTTTTTTTTTTTTTTTAAATGATCTAGGGACACGACCTCCTTATTCACGGAATTCAGCAGAACTACATTTTTTGTAAAATGACTTGGTCTTTCATCACCCTTGAGATAATCACGTACCATCAGCTTGACTAATCTCCCTCTGTTTAAAATAGGCAAAATCAGTGTTAACTTTTGCCTTTTTGTTCCGTGTAGCAGAAGTCATACTGACTGCACACAGAAAAATAATATTACATCTCCTTTTAGCCACTGCATAAAGATATTCTCTGCGATCACGGAATTAAAGAGTTTCTTCTTTCCATATTAGAACTCTTATCTACCTTAGAAGGTGAAGTCAGCCAGGCTCAGACAAAATGAACAAAATGAAAGATTTGCATGAGCCCTGGGAAGAAGTATATTTTTTCCCATACCATAAGCAAATCAGAAATGTGTTATACTTCTATTTATTTTGTTTCTGTACCTTAAGCAATCAATAAACTACTGCAGAAAATGAGTCAGAAATCAGAGGTTACCTTAATTGCACGTCCTTTTACACACATAGCATCCCAGCACTCATGTTTGATGACATCCCGCAAATAGCGGTTGGCTAAATTCTCCATCTCAATCTCCTTCCTCACCTTTCAAAATACAGAAGAGAACATAACAAGATGTGGTGTGAAATAACAAGATATGGGCAATTTGTATTGAGTAATTGAAACAGACCTAACCAATGAAATGAATTAACAATATTTCATCATCTTAGACTATCACAGCTATTTTCTCCAAAAACTATATTGCATACTACTGAAAGGCATCATTTTATATGTGAAGTAAGGCATTACAGAACTTCAGCAATGTGCCCAAGGCCACAGTGTTAGATTTATAGTTTCTGGCACAGATCATATTCCAATTGCAATGTCTGCATCAGCAGCTTCACCTGCTTCAAAAAGTGACTTAAAATACTTTTAAGTTTTCCTGCTTCTCAGCAGTGAACAGCAACTTTGAGATCATCCTCTGTTCTTTAAGCATTCTTTCTCCTTTTCACTGCTAGTTTTAAAATGTTCTGCCCCCATTCTATCATACCCTGGCCACTTCTTGTTCAGCCGCTGCTTGCGCTCTTTCCTGTTCTTCTATATCCAGGTTGAACTCCTGCTGCTCCAGTTTCTCAATGTCTGGCACCTGTTCATTTTCATGCATCATTTTCTGAATCTGTTTTTTTAAAGTATAAGGAATAAAAAGTAATTTGAATGTGAATAGAGGAAATGCTATTTTTAACACTATAGAGCTTGATATCAGAGAAAATTATTTTAATTACTTCCACTTTTAACTGCTTCACGGTAATTGGTAGAATGTGCTGCCTGTAGCTAGTGCCAGAAAGTACCCCATGAATATATTTCATCTTTGTCTTAAAGTTGATTTGCATGTTACCTGTGAAGTTGTGTATACTTTCTAATCACCTGCAATACACAATTCTTTATTCTCTGGTTCTGAGAACTTTATGAAGTTGTTATCACTTTATTAAGTTGTTATCTGTCTCATGCAGTTCAAAAAAGGGAACTGCAAATTCTTGCAATTCCTGCACCTGGTGCTGAGCACTTTATAAAGTTGTTATCACTGTATTAAGTAGTTATAGACCTCATACAGTTAAATGAAGGGAAGCGCAAAATCCTGTACCTGGTGAGGAACAGCACCATACATGTGGACACCAAGTTGAACACGCGCCAGCAACATGCCCTCATGGCAAAAAAAGGCCAGTGGTATCCTGGGCTGTACTGAGAGTGTTGCTAGCAGGTTGAGGCAGGTAAGACATGGACATATTGGAGAGAGTCCAATGAAGGTGATTATAGAACTGGAGCATCTCTCCTATGAGGAAAGGCTGAAAGAACTGGGACAGTTCAGCCTGAAAAAGGAATGGCTTGGGAGGAATCTCATCAGTGTATATAAATACCTGCAGGGAGGGTGCTAAGAGGGTGGAGCCAGACTCTTTTCAGTGGTGCCCAGTGACAGGACCAGAATCAATGGGCACAAACTGAAACACAAGAGGTTCTGCCCAAATATCAGGAAACGCTTTTTTACTGTGAAAGTGACTGATTACTGGAACGGGTTGCCCAGAGAAGCCATGAAGTCTGCATCCTTGGAGATAATCAAAATCTGTCTGGACATGCTCTTGGGCAGACTGCTCTAGGTGACCCTCTGCCTTATTCGCTTGCATATAGCAGTTTGTATGTAAGGAAATGGAAGAGGAGAGGACAGTAGTTTCTGTAATGGAAGGTTGTTAGATAGGCAGAAGCTAGCCTGCTGAGGAGACAGATTGCTCAAGGTAAAAGGGTGGTACAAAATATTTATTTGGAGCAAAGGAAACTGAGAACCTGAGACACTAGTTCCTGACAGGTTCAGTGTATAGTCCCTGAAGAAGCACATCTCTATTACCTGCCTGCTCCCTGCTCAGATTTTAAGACAAAAACGTAACTGAGTGCTAGAGCTGATAGCCATAAAGGAAGTGTAGTTGTAAACAAAACTGGTAAGCTGAGCCATTACCCTTGTAAGAAACTCACAGTTTTGCGCAGCTTTTTAATTCCCATCTGCAGCTCGCTCTTCTGGTTAGCAAACCTCTGAGTCTCTTCTCTAATGACCTGACATACAACAAATATATTATTGAAAGACAAAAACAGGTGAGAAAAAGAGATTGAAATATTCTAAAGGAACATTATCTTGTGCAGAAAACAAAACTCCAAAGAGATTAATAACTAAAACAGATGCAATGCTAATTCAATAGGATGATTCTTAGAATTGTTCAAGAGAAAAAAGACTGTACAACCAGGTCACACTGTAAACTGGCTGTACGGCAACAGAGCTTAAAAGTAAGAAAACATTGAAGAAAGAAGTACTTACAAGTGAAATGATTACAGACACAATGAACTGGGTAAAGCCTACTGCCAGATTGTCACTAAGCATTTCTAGCGGGATATTTAAAGAATCAAGTAAATTAACATCTGTTACTCATTCTGGAAGCAGTGAAATTTTCTCTGCCCTTACAGCCTTGCCAATTCATCTCTTAAGGAAAACTTGGCAATTAGTCTACACCTCTGAAATTTGCTTTCTAAAATAAGTTTATAACTTTAAGTGGGATGATGTCTGTTGATTGAAAGGAAGGGGTGTATCATTCTGACATCGGATGGACTCCATCCTTCAAAAGTCAGATGCAAGTCTCTTAGGACATTGATGAGCAGCTTGAAATAACCTAGGACCACATTGTTGCCCTTCAACCTTTGCTTCTCATCACCTGTTCCCATCTGATACTAGTAGTCATGTGGTACATGTGTGCATGCACAGTCACATGGATTTGCCAAAAAATCCCAACAGAGACACCAAAGCATGAGTGCTATCATCAAAGCACAAACAGGAGTATACATCTGGGAGAGGAATGGAGAGAATGCCACTTTCAGTGGCAGTATGTCTTAGATTAACCTGAGCCACTCATGAAACTGCATCATAATTTGGAAAGTCACTCCTGAGATCACCCAGAAAGCAATGATATTTTGCTTTGTCCTATCACTGAACCCCAAAAGCTGGAAAAAATACACAGCTCTGGCTCACATCAGAAAAAAACTGCTAGCATCCCTAAATTCATATTTCTGGGGAAAAAAATAATCTAACACAGCAGTTTCCAGGCTCCAAAAGCACTAAATCCCCTCTCTGTAGACTTATAAAACTTTGGTTACATAACATACTCACCTCAACCTGAAATAAGCCATGGGGGTTTTGTAATTAATGTCACATTTTTGACTACTGATTTATCAGTGCTGTTGGTTACTCCGGCCCTTGGGAAGAAGAGAGCACCTGCTTGATTTCTGGTAATAATCTGTGCAACTTCATGACATGTATAAGAAAAAAGTCGAAGCCAATCTCTCTGGCAATTTTTCTGCAGTTTACTCCTTGTGTAGAAGTGGTCTTTTGGCCTTTAGAGCTCCTATTGTGCTATGTACCTGCTCTCATGTGTTTGTAACTTTGACCTAGGATTTCTAAAAGTCTGGATCGCAATGCCTTAAAGACAGGTCCAAGTGTCAGAAACGCTTTAGAAACTAGATTCCTTTACAGCATATAACTTGGCACCCCAAATCACTATTGACTTTTGAGAACTCCAGCTTTAATACTTGTTCTATGAAAGTACCTTCTTCATCTTCTGACCTATCCACGTCATTTCATTGGTACTGGCTGAACACGAACTGGTGATGTTTCCATCTTCTTCTGTCACCTCTACATTGGAAGATTTAAGTGGTGCCTCCTGAAATTAAGGACATTATCATCCATCTCAGGTACTTAGAGAGAATGAAAGAGACACAGAAATAAAATTAAAAATTTGTTCGTGTGTTGCAACATTTTTGATCCATAACCAGTCCCCAGATTTGATCCTGCAAACCCTTGCTATCATGCAAAGCCTTTTGACTTAAACAGGCTGACTGCACTAATCTCTATAACGACTGCTAGTCATTATATACAATGCTAGTCATACATATACAACTAGTAACACACAATGTGTAAGAGTAACCTCACACTGGGAATGACGCGTAACTTCACATGAGGAGAAACTGACTTTCACAGAGTTTTCTGTGGCTGAAGAAACCAAGTGAAACTAAATGGAATTAAATGTGAATGTCATCCTCCCATAACCTGATAATCCTTGATATCAAGTTATGGATAATAATCCTTGATTATTTCCTTGATAATCCTATTCCACAAATTAATAATTAAGCATATTCAGCCTATCCTCAGGGGTATCCTTCTACTTCTACAAAAGGATCAGAGTTTGTTTTGAGGACAGTTATCACATGTAATTTTAGGATAATGATCAAACTTTTTTCCCCCCATAAAAATAAAGAAAACACCTCAAATTTCTCTTCTGGAAGTGATTCCAATGTGGATGCTGGGTCAAACTGCCATTCTGCCATAGATTTTAAAACAGCATTTTCACTCGAAGTAGACTTGTTCAGTATAGCAAAAAGAGATTGCCAGTGAAAAGCAGCTTCCTTAACCTCAATTTCATTTATCTTCCTAGTAAACAGAAAGGAATCAATGTATTTTTTGTGTATTATGGAAAAGAACAAAGTATTAAATATTCTTTATAGCACAATTGTTTAAAAATGCCTATTCAATATTTATAAATAGGATTCAATATTGTTTGAGTTCTAGAATTGCATAATTAAGTGAAGTTTCCACAGAATTAGAAATTCTGAAAGACGCATTACCCAGATTAGAAATATTGCTCTGGCAGACTCATCTTTAATCTATGCAGCTACCTGAACATTGTTACACCACAAAAAGCTGTAGTTTCAAGTGTTACTACTAGTGTCTCCTAAGAGCTCTCTATAGCCACAGCTCAATTCCCATTAAAGCTGTGATGCATCCTAATCACTGAGTTAAAATAGTATCTCATGAGATTATATCCCTTACACCCCCAGGGAGCCCCTTCCAGATGGTTTATTTGAGAGTGATAAGAAGCTCAGTATGGGTAATACTTAGCAGAAGATACTCCTATATCTTGTACTGCAACCACATCCAAAGTACAAGACATTCCTCATAAGACTGGTGGGAAGCTTTTCATGAGCTAGGGAGACGGCCTCTAAAGATGAGAGCAGTGATATTATCTTTATCCAATTCTTCTTCTTACTTTGAGACTAACAGAAAGGAAGTCTAGAATCACAGTAGATTTAAAAATTAGTCTGTCAGGACACAAGAATTTACACCACCAATGTTGGTCTGTCACTTTATACATACTTCCATTTCAGACACACTAGGGCACCATCATTTTCGCCATTAACGAGGATGAATTTTCCATCTAGAGAAAATACCATGGATCTGATTCCCCCTCCTTGATATGAGTGACAATGCTTTTGAGCAAGTAAATCCTAGAAAAGTCACAAAAGCAGTATCAGCAAATACATTTTTCTAATTGAATATGCCCGTAAATTATGCTTCTTTATTTTTAGATAAAATTCAATCCAAAATGTCAATGCAAAGTATATAGAAGACTAGGATTTATGATTCATAATTTTTGACTACAGATGAGGCAAGTTTCTAATATATTGATTTTGCAGGAGATAAGGAACAGTAGAAAAAATATCTACCGTAAGTGTACCAGAGAAGAAAGTACCCTGTATGATCATGTACATATTCATTATATAAACAATTGTACTGTATAATGCCATGTCAGTTCATGTTCAACCTAAATTTTTCTAGAACACCTTATATTCAAGTGAAGAAAAGCTTACAGCGAAAGAAAGTAGCTTTCATACATCTTTCTCATATAAACCAAGCAAAGCCTGTGTCTGGATGCCTACCTACCATAGCAAATGTATGATAGATGAACAAAACACCATCCTTTGCTGCTGATGCCAGCCACCGGCTGTTGGGTGATAAACAGAGGAACCCTGATCCAAACTGACTGCTAGGAGTCTTCTTCCCTGATAAAAATACTGATGGATCTTCCAACATATTCTGCCAAACAAACAAAATGTTAGCAGCAGTCCAGATGACAGAAATATCTATGCCATTTGGAGAGGACTAATGGTAGCTTTGTGGGTTATCACATGCATTGCAATTTAAAATGCTGTTGGATTACTGAGCTCAGGAAGCAGTACCATTACTATGCTGCTGATTTGCTTCTCATCTTCTCTAAAGGGTCTGTATGTTTGCTGTTTGTATGTATGTTTGGGCCTGGAGTTTCTTGGCTCAGAAAATACGGGGCTTGTCAAGGAGGAATGCTCACCTTTGGATTCACCTTTTTCCTTGACCTGACTGTTAAACTGAGGGAGACCTATGAGCTGCAGAGAGCTCCAGTTCACCAGCAAGCAATGACAGTGGCTTCCTGAATCCCCCGCTACTTCATTGCGTGGCAGGGCTGGGCTGGGCTTGCGGTTGTGTCTTGGAGTCATGGGCTCACATTGGCTCAGTTCCTTCAATAGCTGGATATTCAGGCTACTCAGCAGACTGCACAAAAGCACAGCTCCAATACAGAAGATACACGTGAAGTGCCCGCAAGCTATATGAGTTTTAAGAACCAATATTTGGCAAAAAACGCCAAGGAGATTGCTTTTGCCAAGTTTCTGAGCAGGTGGTAGGATACTGAAAGTTGATGCTTATGGATGGAGTAGACATTTTTAGTGTTGAGACTTTTTTTGGTAAGATAATATTCTGCTACATTCACTTCATCTACAGCCTTTGTTTGACTGTATTTAACCATCATCCAAAATAATGCAGCTTCAGAAAATTACCTTTTCAGAGAGATGGTATTTACAGATGAAAGGTGCACAGGTACAGTAGCCATACACAATGTTATCCTTCAGTCTGACTGCTGAGCTCAAAGGGTAATCCAGATCATATTGCTCCTTTTTAATGGCACTAGTATTAAGCATTCCTTGTTCATTAACATACTTATCATTATCTAGAAGATTCAAAAAAGAAACAGGGAGGAAGAGGCATCACTACTACTAATGCAGGTGCTTCACCTATCAAGTAATTACGAAAACCAGTCTCAGCATGATGTGTTTTCAAGGAGGAGACTGGGAATCAAGATACCTAGCTTTAACTTTGTGGGCTGTGCTGATCTAGCACACTGCAGTGAAGCAGCGAGATAGCTCTACTAGCTTTAAAAAAGTACTAGAAACAGCTTAACCATAGTGATGCGACAACTTCTACACACTAATTTACCCTGCTTCTTGAGTATTACATAAGCAATGCTAATTAGTTGACATGGAGGTTCATGTCATCATTGCTATCACCTAGAACCTGTTTAGGCATCTCTGCCATGAAGTACACATAGCCTGGGTGGTATTGGTTAAAACACTTCATTTCACATCTTCAGAAGGACATTTTATTATTTTTGGTTGCTTAATTTGAGCTTTAAAGAGACACTTGAAATTAAGATCAATGCAATAACTGTAGATCTTCAGCAACGTTGAAAATCAAGCCCCATTTTATATGTCTAAAACTGGGCACAAAAAGAACCCCAGCATTAGTGGATATTTAAAGAAAATACCAACTTCAATGAAAATTGATTTCTTGCTTGTAAATTGTAAGGCCTTTTAAAAAATATACGTAAATAACTAGAAAATCTGATACTAGGCTTACTAACAGTTTTGCAGAAGTTTTCTCCACAAAAGGCTTGTTGGTAATTCATTTGCATATAATGTGAGTAAAATGATATAAAAATATAATTATGTTAATAATGAACACAGGTTGCCTTTTGCTGTAATGTGATAGAGAGAAGACATCACTGAAACCTCAAACTATATTGATTTGGCAATTCTTAGGTGGAAGACACATAAAATTGGAAGTGCATAGTGCCACCGCCAAGCAAGCCTGTCCTGTGCTGGCTGCATGGTGAGGACACCAAATGCAACATTCGCCTGCAGTGTGCCTCAGTTAATGCATTTTAGCCCTTTCACGACAACTGGGTTCCCAGTTGATTCCAGAAAGTGTCCCAGTCAATGCATTCCTAGAATATGTTTAAGATATTCCTAAAATATCAGTCACAATTAAAAGTTCTGTGATCACTCATGACATTCAGGTCCATTTTTTCTTGCTTATAGTACTTCTAAAATGCTATAATATCATAGCTGTATCCTGAATGACACAAACAAATTACTAAGATATTTCACAGTTGAGGATGGCATATATAAAACAAATCATGAACCGTATTTGAGAATTTGGCATGGGTTACCCAATTTAATGAAAGACTTCACAGGTTCCCTTCATTTTACTTCCAGCTTGTGAACAGAGATTCTAACAGTGATGTCCCAACACGTACATCGCACGTGGCAGATACACAGGGCCAGATTTCCAGGAGGTGAATGGAGGTACGCCATTCTTAAGTCTCCTTGATTCTCCCTGTTTCCTCATAGTGGCAATTTTTCCACTGAATGTTTCTATGAAACTTTCCTTATTGGAATGCAAGTTAATATTTTTTAAATACAGTGGATTTTTTACTTGGTGCTTTTACACAGAAAAGCTGTAACAAACAATCATTTTTTGAGATACATCAACCTTTAACCTTTTCCTAATCAGCTATGATATACCTATAATAATTCTTTGAAGAGGCTGGTGAGATTGATTCCACTTTGAACACCTGATATGCTAGCCTGCATATGGGTGATGCTAAGCACAAGACCTCTTTGTGGCTGGATTTGTGCATTGCCTACATGGTAGCGGTAATAATAATAATAACAACAACAACAACCAGTAATAGTAGTTAAGTGGTGGCTTTGTAATTCTGCAAGTGAATTACTTCTCTCCTTCCATCCTTGGCTTTCCCTCAACATTTCACAGTCTTCCTCCTGCAATGATTCAGCTGACTATAAGTCTACAGACTGGTGTATGAGAAATGGTGTCCCAGAAGAATGTACAGATAAGATGAAGAAAGAGGTTAAGATTGTTAGTATTTTCTGTTAAGGGAAGGCAATAATATGCTCTCGCCTTAGAAATGTATCACATAGTATATATTTCAATTCTTACCTGTTGTGAGTGCTGAAGATAGACAAAAAATTTCCAGTCTTGCTCGCTGGACCTCTGCTATATTAAGAAGTACTACCACTTCAACTAAGTCGTTCTTGAAGTCAGAAACTAGAGAAAGACCCAGCACTTCATCTGCCAAAACTGAAGCAGGTAGGGAACACCAATGCAAGTAGTTACTGAATCACGATAACATTGTTTTTACCAAGATATCATGTGAAACAAAACAAGATCCATGTGAAACAAAACAAGATCCCTGTTAAGAACACATCAGTTTTGAACTCGTATTAAAATATCAGACAAGCCACAACCTGGTTTCAGAAAGTGCTGCATGCACACAACTTCAGCTTCAGGCATTGGGTGCTGAAAATGCTAAGCATCAGAGTGTTATTTTACATTAAACATTCAAATGTGAGTTTAAATCCAGCATGAATTTTAGCAATTTTGAGGCTGTCTGCTGATAACCACCAGATAAAGCACAAAAAAGCCATCCCCTAAGCAGCCAGCCAGACAATGGGAACATCATCAGGCAAATTCAGAAAATTATCTAAGGAGATGTAATTCTATATTTGTCAAAATCAATTAAAATGGTAATGTCCTTTATACTTAAAATTATGATGAAGATCTATCTGCACACATGTGATTTGTGAGTATAATGTTATTGGAATTGAGAGACTGCATAAACAAATTTACAAATTTCATACGAATTTTTTTGTGAGTTAAAATTCCATCAGTTTTTATTCTTCAGTATCAACCATCAAAGCTGATAATTCCATCAGTCCCCATATTAAAGATGTCTGGGGTGGACATTTGTAACAGGAGATTGCACCCAGCTATCATGACCTACAGTTTTTCAGTCTAAGTTCTCATATGGAAAGCCACAGAGGTCTTAAATTCTTTGCCAGCACTATTACTTTTGTGCTGGAGTTGTGAGCAGTTGGCCAGTTAATCTGTTCTCTTCCCTGTGACTTATGTGTGTCCTGGAAGAAGAAAAGTAGTATTGGTTCATTTGCTAGCTAAAACTGCAGAGGAAAAAACAACCGATTGGCTAGGACAAAATATGGTTGGGAAATAGGTGGGAAAAACACGTTTAGTCCTCCTAAAAAATAAGTACGATGAAGAAGAGTGGCTTAGTCTAACCAGCAAGTATACTTAAAATACAGCAAATAATGAAGACACAATGTAATTAATGTTGTTACATATATTACCTACATATCCTAGAACTTCGAATAATTTTGAAGGTCGGGCATCTAGAATAAAGATATGTCCTTCTGTAGCTCTAGCGATGAGGAACTGGCCACTCTGATCATAACTGGGAAAAATATAAATCCAAGTAGGAACCAGCTCAATACAGTCAATAAAAAGTACCAAATAATTCCATTTCCATAACTTTGCTGACTTTGTTGAGGGCATAAATGCAACTGAAATTTCAGCTTCCTGGTTTACACAGTTAGGGCCTGATATAGATCCAAGTGCTGTAAGTTCAATTTCTGAGTGGGTTGTCAAGCTAAAGCTAACAATACTCCATAGCAGTCTGCATTAACAACTTTATTAAATCTTTCACCGGAGTTCACTTTTTAAAAAATTAAACTACTATAGAAATTTTGATGTTATTTTGAAGAGATATGTCTTTGTTTACATTGACTTGACTTTGAATAAGTTGCTTTCTGTATCTATTTTGAATGTTTTATTTTGGGTAACTGTGAAAAGAGATCACAGCTGAGTCTCCAAATAATGGGAAGATTTAAATTAAAGTTTAACAATTGAAATTCCATTCTACTTTTTAAAAAGCAGAAGTAAAATACTCTCAGATTTTGAACAATTGAAAAAAACCAGAGCTAATTACAGAAGGACTGTTAAATTCCAGAACTGTAAGCAAACGAATAATTAACAATAGTAAAAACCCATCATATAAGAAGGGATGACCAAAAGGCTTAAAAATAACTTCACAAAACCTCCCATTTATATTCAGTGAGAAATAACCCCCTAAGTTCAGATACATGGAATTGTGCATAATTACTGCATATGGTGATCTGTCAGAAAGGTTCTTGTACATCAGTTTCTTCAGTGCTCGGTTAAACCTTCTTAAAATGCAGTTTTATAATATTTGTCTCATATAAATCCTGCAACTACTCCTCTTGCGAGCAATTCAGAATACGTTGGAAAAAAAAACTGAACTGTTAAAACACTTTACTTCGCTATTTTTAGAATTAAAATGTCCATTTTTTTTTTGTTCAAGTAACAGCATTACCCCAGCAACAAACTGACAATATTCCTGCCCTTGTTACTACATACTTACTGCAAAGACACCACTGGAAATTTGGAAAGAAAAATTCTGTGAACAATTCGTGGAGCTTCAACTTTGGTAACATCAAGGAAATAGATTTGACCTTTTTTAGTCCCTACAGCAACACTGTTGGAGGAGGGACAGCAAGCCATAGCAGTTGCCTAGTAGAGAAGTAAAAGATACTTAACAGCTCCATCTTTTTATATATTATGCTATATGTTAATATGCAATTTCTTTTACTATTTAAAAGTCACTAAAATTTGGAAAAGAAACCCCAAATAGTATACCTAAAAAACTTTATTTTTTTAACAAACAAAGGATTTTAGAGACAAAGGCATTTTTACTTATGCTCTGTATCTACATATCAAAAGCTCATTCTGTGCTCCTCAGAAAAAAAAAAATTATATCCAGATTTTAAGTGAAAGAAGTTCCATCTAAATAAAATAGTGGATGCACTGTTATGTGTACAGCTGTTATAGAAAGGGATTTTTTTTCTTACTATGTCAGATTTCAAGGATCGAATGCATCTTAAATCAGGACAAAGCTTTAACAGTCTGAAAGACTTTTATCAACTCATTTTTCCTAAAACCTGTTTTTCAGATCATTCAAAGCATTTAGTTTTTATACACTTCAAACTTCAAAAGCAAAAATTAAATAAAATAATACGAAAAAAATTTAGATTTTTATTTACAAATATATGCTTAAAGACACATCACTAGGACATCACCTTGAAATATTTCCTCTGCTTTATGGCAGAGTTAAATACATAATTAGTTCAAGGAAACATTCTGAAAGATAATATGTTTTAAATCTCTTTCATGGGTTGTTCAAAGACACTGCTGAGCTTTCCTCAGCACTGGTTGATCCAAATCTATGGAATTTTACGCTATAAATTGAAAAATAGCAAAGAAAATTTTAATTATCAGTCACTATATAAGCTCCTGATTATGTGTACCTCAATATCAAGGTTTAGCTTGCTGATGCAAGTTCCATCTTCCAGGAACCAAACTTGTACTTCACCTGCAATTGTTACAGACTGTTGAACAGAGAAAAACAGAGTCAAAAGAGAGTGGAATAACCAAATAGTGTGGAAGTGACTAGTGATCTTCTATAGAATACGAATTCAACTAATGTCTGAGCACAGCAGATCAAAGGTTACTAGTTTTGCTTGGAATTATCTTTCTTTTCCTTTAAGTCCAGTTGCTGCAAGGTACACCTACCTAAGGAAAACATTTAATAATCTTTGTGAATTTCTGCAACTACAGGAAATGTCTTTAAGCAGAATGAGACAATCTAGGGCAAAACACATAAGGCTGATCAACATTAGCACTCCCACCATTCAGCCAGCAATAGAAAAAAATGCTTATAATTTTCTTTGCATATGCAAGGGTCTAAAGAGAAGCCCTGTTTTCTCACATGAAAAATTATGTATGTCATAATGGTGCTTAAGTTGTTCTTACATTCAGGCAATTTTATAATTCCACAGTAAAGTATGGCTAGAAATTAATCAACCCTCACGTTACTAATTCAGAGTCAGGTAAAATTTATCATTCCCCTGCTAACGCCAAACACACACATTCAGCAAACCTAATTGATTAAGACCCTAGTGTTCCTAGGCTGGCTACTTGAAAAATTCATGGTCTGGAGATTAATCAGACTTGCTGGCTAAAAAGCATGTCTTACAGGAGCCAAAGACATACGAGGAAAGCATGGAATTTCTCAGAATGGACAGATCCATGAGTAAGGCCACCTTTGTTCCTGGACCCAGGACACAGGCATCTCTCAGGCTGTTCCGATTTGTGCTGAAGGCTGAAAAAATCAGTAGGAATTTCTTGTTCCAAAACCTGTTCTCTGAATCAAATCCGCCTTTTGCTCAGCTATGTTCCTGAACAATAGTGAGTCACACAAATCAACAGCAGAACCAACATGACGTTTCAGCAGCCTGTAAATTGCCCACCCTGCATTCTAGGGCAAGTTCTGACCTTTTTAAAGACTATACCTGAACTAATGCTATTTAATTCCTTAATGAGAAGTTACACAACTGTAACAAATATCAGAACAGTCCCAGTCTCTGCAGGTTTTTGATTTTGTGCCTTAGCAATATATTGGTTACCTGAAAAGAGCCACTATTATATATATAAGCAAGAATACCATTTCTTACCACACAGTATTTGTTCCCTGGACTAAGAAAATCAGCTGCCAGAAAAAAACTGCTGCGTGCGTCCAGGAGTTTGACAGCTTCTCCACAGTGAGCAGGTTTGTAAGTATAGACTGTCCCCTGACAAATAAAGAGAAATAATCCATCAGTGGGCTATGAAACTTTTCATTAAAAGCTTTCACAGACTTCAACAAAAAATACGCATCTTTCCAAGCTTCACTCTTTAAAGTTTTATATTTGACTCTAAATTGAGGTAAAAAGTGCCCAGTAGAATTCAGCTGAATTTAGTGGATTATATTAATTTACACTAGCTGAAGATCAGGTTAGTTCATTTTAGAGTGATCCAGCTAGTCATATTTTCAAGACTTTTTTTTTCTCAAAATTGCTTTAATAAAATAATTTTAAACCACCCTATTGCATGTTACTCCAGGAATCAATAAATATTCTAAACCAACATAACACACAAATCGTAAATCTTAAGCTTTAAGAGATGTTTTTATCTAAAGATCTCAAAGCCTCTTAGAAACAATTCATAACTAATATTAACAAAGATTTTAGAACTTCTCTACTCATTTGAAGAAAGGAGAATGAAATCAGAGAGAGTGTGACCAAAGTTACCATTGCACTGCTGTCCTGAACTCAGAACCTCCTGACACACACACTACAGAAACAGCTTAAGAGCTTTAAAAATGCCAATTATTAAAGGTCTGGAAAGACAGGTGGAATTTGAGGACTTGGGACCCTTGTGTAAGATGTCTGAACATCAGGCTGGATTAAAAAGGATCGTGGACTGGGTTGCCAGACAAATTCAGGTACACGTACAGAACAACTCTAGTGCATAGCCACAGTAGGTCTGATGTAACCGAGCTCCCCTTTTATTACTGTGCGGGCACACATCAAGCCTAGAGTTCAGGCACAGTAGGTCCCCTATGACCTGGACACACTGGAAACCCTGAACATGTACTCCACTGTACACACACAAGTTTTTCTGCTGGCAAATCTCAGCATTAGGTACTTTATAATCTACCATTTGTAGGAGACAAATGTTCTGTACTTCATTAAAATTCTTTCCAATCTTTCATTAAAAACAGGAGATGGACTAAGTTCACCGCTGGTGTAATTTGTTGACTTGTGTGATTACATTACAGACATTTCATACTAGCAGTATCAGCATACACACATAGAATCACAGGAACATCCCATTAGGTAATGCTATTGTCTCAAATGCTATACCTGGCCAGTGACAAGCAGAAGTATGGTGTAATCAGGAGAGAACATGAGGCTGGATATTGGTTGTAAGATATCAGCACAGATTTTCATCTCATACTGCAGATCTTTGATGTGATAAAAGAATAAAATGCCCTCCTGTGCAGAAAAGTACAAATCCACATCAGGTCTAGGTCATTTATCCCAGCCCACTCAGGCAAACTGAACTGCAAGAACTTCCGAAAGTCCCTGAAGTAACAGTGTTTACCTGTATCCCATCACTAATGGTCTCATTGGCTTTTAGTATGTTTAAATCCAGAGGACTCACCCTGTATAATAAATCTATTGAAAAATGAAGGTGTTCTTTAATACAAGTCTTAGTAACGGTCCATGTCTGAAAACAACAGACTCTCTCATCAGTTAATATATCAGATTTCACATTGTTTTTTTGAGACAGTATAAGAATTTGTCCCATTCTTAAGCAGTAATATACAACAGCATCATCAGTCTGGGTTAAATATTGAGTTAGATTTAGCACAAAACAATTTGGCAGCTCTCTTGGCCATTTTCTCTCCTTTTCCTATTTTTTTTGTCCACCCTTCTTTTCCTAGAATACTCTCTTTTGTTAAAAATAGGATTGTGCTCTTGCTTCTTTGACTACAAAAATGGAATCTCTTCCCACCCTACTCCCTTCCGATTCTTGTCCCAAGTCTTAACAAATAAAATACATACAACACTAGAGAGGACTTTTATAGTTCTGCAGCCCTCCACTTTTTTCTAACTCCTGTCTTCGGAGTGAACTCTGCAACTATACTGCACTTGAATGTTCTTTGATTTTCGCACAATAAGAGTAAGTTAAAATCATAAAGGATGCCTTACACGTCCAGCTGCATAGAGTCCCTCGTTACAAAATGCCATGGCAAATAAAACTGGTTTTTGCAGATCCTTTGGTTTGCCACCTGAGAGCACAAAACCAACATAAAATATCAAATTTAATTTGTTGTAACAATGTGTCTCAACTTCAAATCAGAGATGACTTACTATTTGTGAGTAAAAAGGCTCCACAGGCTCTATATTCTTTGGACTTTTTGCTGTGATAATGAAGGAGAAGGCTGGTATATGGTATACACAATTTGAAGTGACAGTAGTACTGTGGTCTGATGAACTAGAATTTAATTTGAGAAATCATTTGATTCTGTAAGGGCTGCTAAATAGCCACATTAAAGTTTGTCACTAACAGAATCATAGATTCATTTAGGTTGGAAGGGACCCTACAAGTCCTCTGATCCAACCTCCTGCTCTGCACAGCCAACTTCAAACTCAGAACTAACTTCAAAGCTACATCATGTTGTCCAGAGTCATATCCAGCTTAGGTATGAATATCCCCAAGAACAGAAATTCCATAACTTCTCTGGGCAACTTGTCCCAACGTCTGACTACCTTCATTGTGAAAGTATTTTTTTCCTAATATCGACCGAGAATTTCCGTTGATGCAAACTGTGTCCTTTGCCTGTCTGGTTCCATCTTCCCTGTAATCTTTCATTAGGTAGCTGAAGCAACAGTAAAATCCCCGATTTCCTTTTCTCCATGCTAAACAAACATAGTTCTCCTAGCCCATCTTTGTATGTCATGTACTCAGATGCTGCAATAATCTTTGTGGCCCTGTGCTAAACTTTGTCTATTATGTGAACATCTTTTTGTGCTGCAGAGCCCAAAACAAAGCATTTGAAACAAACCCCTAAATCCTAACTCAACTAAATTACAAGCAATTGCAGTTCTAAACAAAAGCTACTAAAACTAAGCACTAGAGAACATATTCTAGTATCACTTATTCCAATTTAAATTAGAATGAACAGGAATTATTTCACTGCCACTGTTTCTCTTGAGACTATTCATTTGACTATTAGCACAAAAGCTATTAATCACTTGTCATATAAACATATAAAAGATTGCTATCAATGCATCTGACAGAGGCCAGTGTGGGCTGAGTTCTTCTAACTCAGTGGCTTCCAAATGTACTCACATATTATCACCCCCAGACATTACTGATGCTGCCTATAAATCTATTAGCTTGATCTGAACATGGAAATACCTTTGTTTTTCTGTACTTCTCTACGAACATACGACACCACGTCCGATATTTTACGCATGTATTCTGCACAAAAGAAAACAATTTATAATGTCAACCTTGTTTATATGTCAATATTGCAATAAAAGTCAGTTGTATTCCAGACCACTGAATGAAAGACCAGGTTCAGGTACTGAATCAAACATGCACATTATTCCCCAATATCCACCATTTCTGTCATTTATGCAACTGAGCAGACACAATCTTTATATGATTCAGCTTACGGCTGTAAAAGGGAGATAGCAATGCTTGGCACGGAGAGTGGTACAGATGCAGATTTATCTATCTCCTAGTGATAAGTTCTGGTATTGTTATTTCGAGCCATGATTTTTTTTTATTAGATTTACTTACGAAGGAAACTTCATCCTGTCTGAAAATAATGCCCAAGTGAAATGCTGTGGCTGCTCCTAATTCTGTTTGCAACACCATAACAGGAATTTAGCATGTGCCTGAAGCTGGACATGCACATAAGCATTCTGCTAAATAGATACAGATTGCAGTATGTTTTAAATTAAGCAGAAGCTTTGGTACAAAATGTATACAGACAATGTTGTTCCACAGTTTTAGGGCAGGACTCAAGGAAGAACCTACAGGCCAAGGAAAAGTCCGACTGGCAAATATTCTTGTTGCCTTCTACTGAACTGGCAAAAACATTTCTGGTCACCGCTCAGCTTTTTATTTGTTGATGATTTCCAACTCTTGATTTGGTGAACTTAAAACTCTGATAATTTCAAAAGCAGAGAAATAATGCTGGTTTGTTGGGGTTTTTTTAACAGCAGCCTTCCAGTTCTGTGTTAACTATCAAGACTGAAAAGAGATACAGGACTTTGGGAAAGTCAGGGATATTTGCTGCAGCTTAAAAATATTCTATTACATAGCAAAAGAAGAAAACCAGATTATCACCAGCCTATTAACACTGATTCAGTGTTTATTAGAGAAACAGTTCTATGCTGGTCTACAACAGGATATTACCCAGCTCTAGTGCTAGCAAGAAGCATATTCCATTACTCCTCTTAGATCTGACTTGACCAGTAAACTTCATGTGCACAGAAGGACGGACACCTTCCATCCCTGCAAAGGACAGGGTACAGGTTGTCATTGCCAGAGCACATTATGCTGCCTGTGTCTCACTGTTTTCCATCTTGGGAGCCCTCTGAACTGGCACAGCAGGGTAGCATGTAGCAAGCAGCAGGGAAGAGACCTCAGGATTCCCAGAAAAAAGAATGGCATAGAATGGGCTGCTGTTGCCGGAAAACTTTAGTCAGTCACTAGCCTGCCAAAGACCCACATGAAAAAAGACAGGTAGGAATATATATAGGGCAGACGGATCACCTCGGCAAGTTACAATCGATCTGAGGGACATGTACTGAGTCCTCCCATTCTAGAATAAATTAAAAGCAGATTTTTTGTTTGAAGCCAAGGACATCTTCTGTTCACTCTCTGTCCTTCATACTTTCTGCAGTAAAGCCTGATAGTCTTGACAGCCTTGTTTTCATTAGAAAATAGTTTATGTAAGAGCTGACCTTAAGGAATTCTATCAAGCAACATTACATTAAATTCATTTTTTTTGCCTGAAGACTCATTATGAGTCTTCAAAGACCTGTTCTAACATTATCTAACACACCAAATGAGGACAATCCATTATTTCATGCAAAATAAAATAAATTATAAAAGACTGTTTATAGCTGGTATATTAATAGTTTAATACTAATCTAGTAGGGCTGGTCAACAAGACCTAGGCTCCTGGAACTATTGTTCATTTTATCAGTTTTGATGTATTAAGAGCTTTTTCTCTTTTTGCCAAAGAAAAATTAAAGCCATTTATTGGGTGAAAAGAAACCCACACAGAAGTTCAAAAGACATTCTCCAATGTTTATCATGCTAATAAAAGAAATACAGCTCTACAATGTAGCTTTACAGTTTCTGTAAGGTACACAATAGGAGAACAGTAGAAAGCAAAAAAAGCTCTCATCTATCCACTTTCCTCTCTACTTAAAACATACAACACAGCTATTTCTTACCAGGTAGAGGTTTTTGCTGAAGAACAGAAACACTGCGTGTCTCAACATCGATTGCCAAAACATATCCTTCTTTACAGCCCAGGTAAATTTCTGAGGTTGCAGTCCAGCAGTGGGCAGTAGGATGCACTGAAGGCTTACTATAATTTCTAGGCTTCACAAATATAAACAAGATTAATCAACAATTGACAAATATCTGTACAAGCACTTATATACATTTAAAGGCAAAAAAAAGATCATTACCTCAGGGTCTGACCACTTGTACAACTTCAGCCTCATTTTATTCAGTCATCCCTTCACTGAGACTAGTAACTCAAGAAACATTTTCCAGAAAAGTCTATGTCTGGAGATAGTGGTGGAGAACTCACCTCTCTCCCTAGAAGCTTGTTTAAATGATGAATTATATTTTCATTTAAAAATCATATGTTTTTAAACTTATCTGGATTTATTCTACAGCACTTGCCTCTGTTACGGTTTTGTCCCCTAGCTTGGAAATCTCTCTGGTATCTTCTCTACCCTTGCAAAGATATTAACCCACCATAGCCAGGTCATCTCCCAATTTTTTAATGAGAAAATTATGATAAAATTCAACACATTGAGCCCCTAAATTTTTTTTTTTTTTTTAACCTCAGAATAGCACTGGAAGCCCAAATTGAAATGGTTATCCACTATGACCTTACCCTGACAAATGTTTTTCAAACTGCTTTTCAGAATAGTCTTCCACTTCTTGTAGACATAACCTGCACATGTGGTCTGGCAGTACTAAAACACATTTTGTTTGAATAGCTTATCTTATCATATTATCCAAATTGCTCTGTAAAACAGCTCTGTCAACCTTTGTGTCATCTGCAAATTAGTTCTAGAAATACCGCTGCCACAGATTTTACTTGTGCCTTTGAATTTCATTTCACTAAAATAAATCTCATAAATCCATCATCCATAAAACAGGAACAACAGAACTTCTCCACCAAACATTATTAAAGACAGTGACCCGTTCAGATACAACAGTAATAGCGGTCATATAAATACAATGATAGAAAGAATGAGATTGAAAAGAATTTGGGGAGGGGAGAGGGGAACAAAACACCAGAAACCTTGCGAGAACGTTTAAAAGAGAAGATTCAAAGAACCATGTATTTGAGCAGAAGTGGTGAGGAACACTAGACAATACAATGGATGAAAATAAAGAAGAGTCTATAATTCTATAAACCACCTGCTGTCTCACTAAAGGTTCTACAACAAGAGCAAATATGGATGGACTTGTGATAAAAACATAGGACAGAGATTCATAAGTACCTGGATTTCATAAGTACCTAGATTTCATTAGTAAAATATGCCAAGGACCTGCTATATGATTCTGAGTAACTAACTTACTCTCTATTTATGTTTACAAAGCATTTTGAATTGTTACAGAAATAAAGTATATTAATATTTACTTCATAAACCAAATAGGACTAACAGTAATAAATCTATAACAAATAGGTGTTACATCACCCAGAGAAACATTTAATGTAGACTTTTTCACTGATTTTATGAGGCTTGAACATCACAAATCTTTGGGAAGTTTGTAACTGAACTACCATGAATCAGAAGCTTCCTGTGTAAAGACAACTTCTGTAACAATCCTTTGTACCTGCTGTCATGACTGTCTTTACAAATAAACTAGATAAAATATGCTAATCTTAGTATGAGATTATGTAAATCCCAAACCAGGTTGCTTCCTGAACTGTGCACTGGTATGGTGGTGCATATAATAACAACACCATCTTTTTTTGAACTTGTCTCCCTTTTGAGTAGCACCTCTTCAAAGAAAAACAATCCATGATGGATCCTTGTCATGAGAAGTTTTATAAAAAGACAGTGGAATAAAATTGGTACTGGGGATGGAGTCAAGTGGTCTTGTCATGGTGAAGCATATTCAGAAAACTCAGGTCCCAAATGTAAGAAATATTGAAACAAAACTAAATCACTCTAATGCAAGAAAGAAATGGATTGAAAGATGTAGGATATTTCAGTTCCCTTCACTCCGCTGCCCCTTTGTGGTTACACTTTGGTACATACCCAGCCTCACTATCTTGTTCTAGAGTATGGAACCCTAACACATTCCAAAGAAGCAAACAAATGCACTGGCAAAGGGCTCACTTTTCTCACTTGCCCCCACACTTTCCTTAGGAGTGGGCTACAGCCTCCAAGGACCGTGGACTACAGGTTGAGGACAACTCCTTTAAATAATAGTCTAGATAAACGGTTCTCCACTTTGGATGCTTACATCAATGTGAAAATCATTGATCTCAACTGACTTGGATTTAGGGATAAAGAACAAAAATCCTTCTGTGAAATTCTGTGGAGATAGGGAGAGCTTCATCAGGCCGTGATACTATTCCAACTGCATTCAACTGAACACACCTCATTAACCACCACAAGAGAAGGAGGTTCTCTCTGACTAATTAAAAAAGCATTCCTGATAGTAGAGAGGAAAGTAACTTCGAGGTATTTACAAACGTCAAGGCACAGATTTTAGTTCAGACTCAGGTAACCGTTATGGTATAAAAATCATCAGTGATAGTAACCATTGACACATCTGCCACAGCAGCCAATCAATTTATAAAGGCAGTGAAGAATCATAGTTATAGCACCTCTATTTTGGACAGCCTGGTCCTTTACAGCAACCGTAGTCCGAAGATATCCTAATATCTGAGGAACTCAGCAAGCTCAGTCGTTTCAATCTCTCTCAAAGTTGCTCCATTAGTTACTTTTGAACATAAGGATTTTGATAAAACAATACTTCAAAAGAAGTATCTTCTCCATCAAGTATATTCTGATCAACTTGTGCTTTGCCAAAACCATGTGTTCCATGTTGCTGTGCTGGAAGGGGGTGCTTAACATGACAAGACACATACATGCGACTGCCTTCCAGTGTGGGGGTTTACAAGACAGGCTCAGTTTTTCTGCTAGGCTAGAGATAGAGCATATGTGCACAGGCATGCATGGAGGGGAGAACTGGCGATGTAAGGCACAATAAATGCAAGTCCTGCAAAAAATTACTCAGCGATCATAGTCTGGAGCAAGGCGGAGACATGCCAGAAATTGATTTAGCGCCTCCCTGCAGCCCTGAGGAGAAGGACTTGGGGGTACTGGTGGATGAGAAGCTCAACATGAGCCGGCAATGTGCGCTTGCAGCCCAGAAAGCCAACCGTGTCCTGGGCTGCATCAAGAGAAACGTGGCCAGCAGGTCAAGGGAGGTGATTCTGCCCCTTTACTCTGCTCTGGCAAGACCCCACCTGGAGTCCTGCATCCAGCTCTGGAGCCCCCAGCATAAGCAGGACATGGATGTGTTGGAATGGGTCCAGAGGAGGGCCACAAAGATGATCCGAGGGCTGGAGCACCTCTCCTATGAGGACAGGCTAAGAGAGCTTGTAGTGATAGGACAAGGGGGAACAGCTCTAAACCAAAAGAGGGCAGATTTAGATTAGATATTAGGACGAAATTCTTCACCATGAGGGTGGTGAAACACTGGAACAGGTTGCCCAGAGAAGCTGTGGCTGCTCCCTCCCTGGAAGTGTTCAAGGACAGTTTCGACAGAGCTCTGAGCAACCTGGTCTAGTGGAAGATGACCCTGCTCATGGCAGGGGGGTTGAGGACAGATGATCTTTAAGGTTCCCTCCAACCCTTATCATTCTATGACTCTAAACTGTGAGTGTAGCACCTCATGATTTAGTACACAGGAAACAACATGCCACCACAACAACAAAAAGAACAGCAGCAGCTTGTATTTCTGCAAAAAACTTTAATTTCTAAATAACCTGATATTCATTAACTTGTCAGTATTCACAAGCAAAATACACCCTTCTAGGGAATTTGGACAGTAAATAACTATAAAAATATTTACCATGTAATTTGAAAGAAAAGGAAATCTTTGTCAAAGTAGAACAATTTACTCTTACTCCGGGAATATTTCAATGTAGAAGGAAAACATAACCACCTTAAAGGTGGTAAAAAGAAATCTAGGTTTTTCTGAAGGCTGCTGGGAATGCAAAGACCCTACAGCGGTATCTAGTATGGTTGAAAGAGCAAACTTTTCCTTGTGGAAAAGTTCATGCCATAGTTCTGCAAGTTCCAGCACAAGAACCTACCATTCCTGAATGGAACAGCACTCATTCAAGGACAGACAAATTCTATTAAGCCTCACAGACCTCATACGGTAGTTGTTATTTTTCCCCAGTACCTCTCGTAATTCACTTCACAGGCTAAAGAACAAAGTGGGTTTTGCAGTTCATCTGCACATAATATAAGAGGCAGCAAGGAAGAATAAAAAGGTAATGCCCTCGATGAGCACACATTATCTTCAATTCCGTGTTCTAAGTGATCTGAAATATAAGCAGTTAATGTGTAATCAGCATCAGTACAGGATGTTTGTAGTTATTGATTGTCCTGGAAACCAAGGGCATCAGCAGTTACAGAGTTAAAAACCTCTGCGAATCTGAATGCATGAAGCCATGAAAAGAGGATGAGGTCAGGAAAGCATCATTCCCTATTTTTGTTTTTTATTCTGCTTTATAAGAAAAATTGATGGCAGAAACCTGTGGTATGCTAATCTGATAATAGAAAAGTCACCTTTGTCCATTGAAAAGACGTAGTATAATGCCAGTATCATCTTATGCACGGTAGTTTTGGTGTCTCCTATATATCACAAGCTACCAAATAGAAATTGATGGTCTTAATCTTAGAAGAGTATCCCAGATATGCAAGTTAAATGTTTTCTCACTGGCAGATGCTTCTAGTTGGTAGTCAGGTGAAAGTAAATTCCAACCAAAATGAGAACACTTCTGAAGCCTCTCAAAAGAGGCATCTCAGGGCAGGCTAACAAGTAAATGATCAAGTGCAAGTGAGACAAATGGGCAAGTCCAACACTGACAGTGGTATGGGAATGCATTTCAGAAGCAGGAGTTGCTGTCTGGACTAAAGCCTTCAATGTTTCCACAGCCTGAGACATTTTCAGAGTCAAAAAGAAAACAAATCTCAAAGGTAAGTAAGGATACCTGAAGGTTACTATCAGTTTAGCATGGTAATAGGTTTTCAAGGTTTGAGCAGGACATATTAGCTTGGGCATGGTTAAATGCTGACATGCTTATACTGCTTCTGGGATACAGATTAATACCTCCACTGCACACATATGTACTGTGCTAGGACCTGTGTCAGAAATCTCTATGCTGTACTACACTGTGGAGTAGCAGCATGTCTTGTAATTCTCCTGTCAAAATGGATTTCAAAAATATTGTTGAGGCAACAGATCTATTTACTGGGTTGTATCTGTTTAACAGACATTAAAATTATTAATTTATTAACCCCTATTTGCATAAAAAGCATAACAACTTGGAATAGTAAATAGGCAAGAAAGCAGTAACTACCTTGAATGTTTCTGCTTCATCTCCTACCAGTCCAGCAATGGCTGAAACTGGCAAATCAGGGCCATGGTATGGATCTTCATTACGAGAAACTGGGAAAAACAAATCCTCATGAGGACTCACGGACCCTTGTCCATCAGGGAGTTTCACAGGGCTGTGAAAAAGCAAGAGACATTGTCTGAGGAGAAGAAATATTACAAATAGTAAATGCTGACAGAAAACTGAGAAGCATGTTTTCAAAACTTTGAGACATCAACTCAGTCAATGGGCTTTACTTCTGCAAGAGTAATGGAGGATTGTCGTAGACAATCGTTTTACATGGCACATACCATTTCACTAAAAATTAGCAGTAATTCTACTACAAAAGAGGAATATTCCTAACTGCCAGAGATGGACTGCCATGTTCTAGCTCAGTGTCCTCCCTTGTTGCCTTGTATAACCAACTATCCTATGTTACCGTTTCCTTATTAACCAGGATTAATAGAGTCACACACCTAACTTGTATATGCTGTGAGGACTCATGCTTAATGTTTATTTGGAGAAAGTTTAATGATGATGAAAAATTAGTAGTAGTATTTGCCTGTTGCACTCTGGTAATTGGTGTATAAGTGGCTGTTACAATGCAGGAGCTGAGGATTCTGTAGTTTACAAACTATGTTGATTTATGGTTTGGAAAGAATTTATGTAAAATAAACAATTCGCAGTGGAGGTTTAACCTCTACTGAATGGAATGAAAAGTGAGGAAAAAGGAGTATATATGTATTTTCACATGTATTCTATGACAAAAGACAAAAAAAACCCTTCAGTATTCTTTTCAGACCACAAATCAAGGCCTTGTCTATACTTTCACTAGTATAACCATATCAGTGGCAGTATGCTGGTTATATTCATAGTTAACAAGATTAAACACACTTGAGAATTGTAGAGTAGCTGTCACTGAAACAGCATAGGTGTTATATTTCAAGGATTCCAACTTGAATAGTACATACTACTTTTATACCAGCCTCAAAAAACATTTTAGCATAAATAAATTCTAGGTTTGCTGTGCTCAGTGAATTGCATTGACAGAGCCATCCCCTCTGGACTTGTAAACTGGCCACACAAGCTGGAAATCACACAGAAAACTGATATTGCCTTTGGTACAATTTGTGATTATAACAACATATTGTTTAACTATGCTTATGAGGAAGCAACTTGATCCAAATTTGGTGGTTTCATAGCTACAAAAGCAATGCTCAACACAGCCACTTGCAGGAAAGCAGTCCAGGCACTACCTTAATTCAGTCGTGCAATTTTGACAGAGGCTGCCAAAGCAGCTGATTAGTATTAGCTTCATGATGTGCATAATCTGGACATGTGAGTGTTAAGAAATTAAATCATAAATTCAATTCACTTAATTGACTAGATAGATTCACACTGGTTGTGATTTAGCAATTACTGATTGCAATTGCTAGGTGAACTAAATTGGATTAAATTCTTTACAAACAGATCTAGGTTGTTAGTCTCAGTTATTAAAATACTCTGCTAGATTTTTCTCTTAACCTGAACGGTGTTCCACTTACTTTTGCTTAAGGTGATACTCGTCATTATTCCTTTCAATACGCCAGATAGTAACAGAGCTCTCATTAACACAACACAGTTGTTGCCAATTCATAGGGTTAAAACTTAGAGAGGTCACTGCTACCCCTGGCTGAGACTCACTGCACAGGAGGATATTTTCTTGCCAGTTCCTTCATTAAGGAGAGTAAAAGAAAATAAAATCTATTAAATAAGTCAAAAACATTCAAGCCAAAGATCTAGATGTGATTATGACTGACATTCAAGATCAAGATTGGAAAACAAATACTTCGTCACTGGCAAAAAATTTCTGCTGTCAAACAAGTTAAGTCCTCTTGAGAATGAAAAGGAGGTGGTTAATTAGCCACACATAAAATTAGTACTGCTACAAAAAGATTCAATAGTAAAATAAATTTGAAAACTGACATTTTAGAGACATTATCATGCACTTCCTTTTGTGAAAAGACCAACAGAGTCAACAGACACGGACTTTTTTCATGAATTCCATCAGTGACTACTGGAATAGACCCAAACAACTAACTTCTCAGCACCCCAGACCTCAGCCTTGCTTTTCCAACCCATAAAATAATTATAATGCTTGCAGTTGTGAGGTGGTATAATTAGGAAATAAAACACAGTCAGTCTTTGATTATCTATGGATGAATTAGGTAATACAGTAATTGTGCTGCGAATGCAGACATACAAGCTAAGGCTGCATTAACTAACTTGAGCACAAAACAGGGCAGAATTTGTGTGGGGCTATTATGTATAGCTGACACAAGCCTGGGAATCTGCTTTCCACTGACTTCATTTGTCCAGTGTAACCTATTTTATGTTCTCACTACCTAATCTGCAAATTGCTCCATTCTTCAGATTAATTCTTAACTGCATTTGCATTTGTAGGTGCTGTCCAAGAATTGATTAACATAATTTGAAGAAAATGGCTAAAACTACTTCTTAATTTCTTGGACAATATATTTGACCGTTAATCTAAATAACATTTATAGCTTTAGTATTTGTCATCGCTGCTGAGAGGAAGAAATCCTAAAATGCATACACTGCAGTAAATGGATTTAGTATAATCCTGTTGTTCTGGCTGTAATAAATTCACTCACTGAAACAGATCAGGATGCAAGACAATGGCTAATATTGATAGCATATGCAAAAAATGAGAATTATTCACACATACACAGTAACTCTCATCAAAATTACTGAAAGCTAGAAGCTGCAATTCTGACTTTCAAAGATATCAGTGTAGTGCTGTCTAAAGATCTGTCAGCATGTTCTCATCTCATACCTAACAGACAGTGCCAACACTCTTTTATAGTAGATAATTTATTAAGATCTGAAACTATATGGTACATGTATCTGAAAAAGAATCTGGCATTAAGCCTCTCCTTTGAACATAAAAGAATAAAGATCTAGGGATAAAGTATCTCAGACAAAAGACAGCTTTTAGTTATCCATAAGCTTTCTATATTTTGAGCCTGACGTAAATATTAAAACATCTCTTATACCTCTGATTCCAAACTAGCTGATTAAAATATAGGAACTATGCAATCATCATATTGCAATCACACATTAAGAATGCCAAACATCGAGATTTCTTTCATCTGTACTCCCACATTTCTACAATGAATGCACAATATAATTCAACTGCAAAAATGAAGGTCCTGATCTCAGAGTAAATTCACACACCTCTGTTCAAGTTATTATAAATTCTAAGTTTAACATTGTAAGGTAATTCTATTTTGCGACTAAATTTGTTCTGACTGGAATCCAGGACGGTTCTTTTAAGACAATTTGCTGCTGTTAGTAATATCCACCATGATTCAAATAGGTTTAAATGGTCTGGCCTTGGAAATTACCACTACTTTAAAGTATTTTAATATTTCTAGGTATTCATATTTCAAGAATAATCTAGAGAAGCCTTTGAAGATGGTGCATTTTTGTTTAAGTGCACATAATGAATACATTAGACTGTGTGTATTATTTCTGCTCTAAGTGACAAGCATGCAGGCTCTTCAGGCCAGTGAGGCTGTCTTGTTGGTTTCTACTGTAATATACACACAGACATCCTTCCTGAACTACTGTGTATGATCAGAGTTCACAGCAAACATTATTCTTCTTCATAAGGAATCAAGAGGAGGCATCTGTAACAGTTTCTACTGTTGTTACTGAAATTCTGAAGTTAAAGGAGTTTCTGCCTCTTCGCTAATCATTATACAAGAAAAGGTCATCGTTAAACTGGGAGTATACAGAATATTCCTTACATGTCCCTGCTCCACCCTCCCCATTTGATTTGAAGAAGTGCTCAGACTTCATAGTCAGGGGAGACTTGCTGGCAATGGAGGCAAGAGCAGGATTAAATGTTTACAGAACAATTAAAAAAAATAAATATTGTAACTTTCTGTATCCCCACCATAATATAATTTTTTTCATGACAATGAGTAGAAAATTATGATCTAACCCAGTGACCCACAGTAATCAGTGAGCACAACCATAAGAGAGAACTAAGATGAAGCACAAGTAATTAAGAGGACTACTGAATGGTCCAGGGGGACACAAAAAAGTATAAGTCTGCTTTAGAATGCTTTTCCTCTTCTCAGCAGGCAACTTTTCTTTCACAAACAGCATGGTACTCAACTTCTAAGGGTGAACAGATAATTAACTGGTGCTGAAGACTGTAGAAGTACTCCAAAACAAAAAATTTTGAAGAAGGTAGAACATAGCTGCAGCAAAGTAACAGTCATTTTGACTAGTGGTTACTAATGCTAGAGAATAAACAGTGAATTTGGTACAGAAAGTTTGCAGACAATGTTCAATCAGGAAAAAAAAAAAGATATGAAGGCAACCAGTGTGTCTCCCAAATTTGTTAACAATTTATGCTAAGCCAGCACACACACAAAAAAATTAATTAAATGTAAATAGTATTAGAGAATTTTTTTTTTTACTCTTACCATACTGAAAGAACAAATTCTGGGATTGAAGAGTAACTGGCTAGATATGGGCCTGTGAAACTAAACTCAAGTAAGGTGTAGTCCAGCTGAGCATTACCTGAAAAGTAAAAATAAAGAACATGGTCTTTAACTGCCCTGGACTTTACTGGATACTATCACAGATAGAATATTCTTCTCAGTTCCTTTATACCCACTTTAACTCTTCAAAGACGTTCTTCAGGCCCCTGACTCCTTTGTTTCACTCTAGGTTATTGCTTTGATTTGATCATAAAAATGTTCCCTATGTATCACTGCTTGGATTTTTTTCCAATTTTTTTCAATAATACCTTGAATTTGTAAAGTATTTTTTTCCCCCAAGGACCCTGAAATCCTTTGCAGTCATAATTTCACTCAGATACATGAAATAATCAAGTACTATGGTCCGCATTTAACTAGCAAGGAAACTGAAACATGGGTAGGGTAGGCAACTTCACTAAGGAAAGAAACATTATGGAGCAGGCAAAAATATACATTAGATCCCAGTCTCGAAAGTTTAACTGCAAGAACCCTCAATTCCTCTCACATCTCAGGTTTCTCAATGTGGGTTTCAGCAATATGCTTGGGCGCCTACTGCAGTATGATTTTCTTGGTTATTCTGACTATATTTTCCAAAATCAATTCCACTTCATTCCATTTGCTTTCCCTTTGTAACAGTTCCATTTTGTATTGTCATATTCCTCCCTAGCTTGAGCCTAACTAAAAGTAGTGCAGTGGAAAATTCTTTCAACACATCTTGTCATGAGACAGTTTCCTGTCACACTGTTTTTCAAGTCTGAAAAAAAAAAAAAACAACCCTTCAGAAAGTGGATGATTTAAATATCGTTTTAATGAAAAGGTGATGGGGAGCGTTACCGCATCACTACCTTTTAATTCTGCCAGTTTACTCAGTCCCGGAAAAGTGTAGACATATATGATGGGATTCAGCTTCCGGTCTGAAAAGGCCAGCACTTGACCGCTCCCACTCGCTGCAAAGGCTCCCACCTGGCCAGCCGGACACTGCAGTGCTGTCGTCTTCTTGGTTTCAATGTCCAGGAAGAGAATGTAATTGCCACAAGGGTAGCAGACAGTTTGATTGTCAATAAAGCCAAAGTTCTTCCTTGAGAACCCCTGAACCCAGCTTGAGAAAGAGCAACTGAACGTTAAAACATAATCAAAGAACATGTTTCTCAAAACACTGTGATAAGGAAATATTGCAGCCTAAGTTACACTGAACTGATGCTTGGGATATGTTAGACCCATCCTCGCACCAATGTTGCAAAACCGTAATAACTTCACGATCTAGTACTATGAATCACTAGTTCACTGTTTCCGAAAACACAGGGTCAGTCTTACACTGAGGGAGCACAAAGGACTGTCATAAGAACATGGAGAGATATTTATATTTTTTTCAGTTTTCACTAAAGTTCACCAGTTCACAGGCTCTGTTTTTGTACTCATACATCGTAGTAACAGAGTATACCTTTATTCTGAAAGAATTACACAGGTACCATCTGCACTTGGGACCCAACTGTGCTTGCTTAACCTTTTTACACTTTCATAGTTCATCTCATCCCCGTAAACTAAAAAATACAAAGACATAGCTTGTGTTTATATAAACCTAACCAGGAGGACTGTTCTGCTTTAAAAATACCAGTACTCTAACATGGTAAAGCTTTGGAATGTAAACAGGATGTGTTATGCAAGCACTGAAATAAATTACTGAAGAGGAGTCAGCTTATGATCTTACAACATACCAGCAAATTCCTAACTGCCTGCAGATGTTTCTACTTTTCAGAAAGTGTGTGTATAAATATCAGGGTCCTCTTATCAAAGGGATTTGCATTTACCACTGAGTGAAGATGTCTGACTGAGCCACAGCTTAGCCTGCTCGTACCATGGCAGAAAACTCAGCAGTGTGACAGCCATCCTCTGTGTACGACACTGCCGTTAGCACCTAATTTCTATACAGAAACTTTCCATCTCTTCTTCCAAATAAGAGCATTTGACTGGAAGAGATCCTTGTCCGCTGCAATTTCCAGCAGCATTTTTACTCCCTTTCATGAACATAAGTCAGTCACAAGATCAGCTCAGCTGCTGATCCTCTGTACCCCTACTAGAAGATTGTACTACAGCCTCAGTGCTCTCAGGAACATTTTTTAAATGATTAGTGTTAAGATATTTATGTCCAGCAATAACTTCTTGTTATGTTTTCTGCATAGTTTCTGCTCTTGTCCTCTTTCGCTACACACCAGAGGAGTTAAGTGCGGCCAGGGGAGAGCAGGCGCATACTGACCACGTGCTTGTGCAGATGAACTGAATACCATGGCAACAAAGAGGAGACATGTCAGCTGGTGAATGTTTTTCTGGATATTTTACACAAGAACTAGATGCATGATGTGCCACAGCACATAAGCAGACCTTTATGAACATGCTCACACAACCAGCTCTGTGCTTTTCTACACCACTAGATCTGAATCAGTGGAAATTCGTATTTTTAACTTCCGCTCTCAGAAGTAAAATAAAGTCTAGAAAATATGTATGCAGGGATAAATTGTGCTGTCATCCCGTTAATTTATCATCCTTATACAACCAGTAAAGGCTTAAAGGGACAAGGATTCAGGCTGTTATCTGATGTCAGCTATGACTGGTGCAGTAAACACTGGGTCAGGTAATCAGCCATGGCTCACCCACGTTTGCCATGCTGTATCTGTATCCAATTGTGTATAAACATGGTGTCAGAAGTATTTCAGTCAAACTTTGCCAGCTGGTCAAATGTAGATGGGGCAAAGTAGAGTTGCTTGGAATTTTCACTACAGAGCTTTTTGCCACTGAAAAACGCTAGTTCATACAAAATATTCTATGAAATCATGAATTTTGTCAAAGTTCTGTGTTTTCTGAAGACACAAACCACAGCATTCCAATTGCCTACTGCAAAATAAATTTTTGTCACTTTCTTCTAAAACTAATACACATACTACAACCGCTAACATTAATTCATGAGAAAGGTGAACTTTAAACTTTTCTGTCTTTGGAAATGCGCTTTGCTTCACATTCAAAAGGGATTATTTTTTTATTTTGCAAAATATTTTAATTTCATAACGGTATTTTCACAAAGCAGAAAACCTAGGTCCCAGCTCTTCCAAGTAACACCAGTTTGCATAAGTGACCTCCTCTGAATAGCAATGACATGCTTCAGATAGTATCTTTTTTACTCTAAGTATCACAATGGTTAAGGCTGAAGCCTGTTTCTCCTATTATTAGAAAAAAAATACTAGAACAACTAATTCTCTTTCCACTAAAAAGTGCTGTACCTACACTTACGGATCCATGTCCCACACTAGCCATAAGCATCAGTGAAACAGCTGAAACACAACGGGCAAGGAAGTTTAAACATCTCTCCCATTGCACAGAAAAAATGTCTAAACATCCTAGACTGCTGCGGAAGTCTCACCCAAGGTGGGGCAGGAAGGGCTTAATTCATCTAAAGCTCCTATTTGTTCAGAACCAAAAAGCAAGTTGCTGGACTTCCAAGAGCTCTGGAAGAGAAGTGTTTTTCTACACATAGTGGGTTATGTTTGGGGGAAACGGAAATCTGAAAGTCTCTGACACACAGGTTAAGGTGCTGAGAAAGACAGGCAGGAGGGAGGACTTAGAATACCAGGAAAATTAAGAGCCATGGCAGCAGATGATGACAGCAGGGTTTAGAAGGCACAGAACAGCCAGGGAAATTCTAGAGGTTGAAGTAGTCTGGGTAAAATAGAAGGGAGATAGGGCCAGAACTGAACTGTATGGGCTCACAAGGCCAGGTACTGAGAAAAGCACACCCTGAGAGTTCATCAGGATTGCGTGCTGCCAGAACAACTACACAGGAAAAGACATCAACTCATGCCACGCTTCTTATTAACTCAACAAGCTCCAGCTTAGAACTAGTCAGGGTCGCTTACTCCCCACTTCAGAGCCTCCCTGTGCTAAGGGCAGAGAACCTAAATATCATCCGAATCCACCAAAGGCTCAGTCCCTGCTATACGCTGCAGCACCAGTGCTGCTTTCCCTCTCCTGCCACAGCCACCTGCCGCCTTCACGCGCACCACAGCACGGCGGCCTCCCTTCCTTCCCCCGTTAGACCTGCCCTGTTCTCTGAGGCTGCACAGAGCTGACCTGGGGCGAGGGGAGCCGGGCCCCGTGGGCACAGGACGGGACACCGGGTACCCCGCCGAGGCTCCGGAGCGTGTGGCGTGTGTCCCGGCCGGCCCCCCCCTCCCTTCCACGGCGGGCCCCTCCGCAGGCAGCTGATTGGCCTGAGACCTCGCGCCAACCAACCAATGAGCGCGGGTAGGTATTTAAAGGGCCAGCTAGCTGCTGAAGAAGGGACATTAAGGAGAGTCTGCTGCATTGGGGTGGGGGCTGAGGTGTGCCTGGCTGTTCTCAAGCAGGCACCGGCTGGGGGCGGAAGGGGCCGTTCTTCCCACGAGTCCCTGGTGTCTGTGGCCTTTAATGGGGGCAAACGTCACTGCTGTGTCTGCAAAGCTTTGCCAGGGGTTGAAGGGGGTTGGCCTTGGGGAGCAATGGTGGGCTTCTTCCCTGGGCTGCCTGTGGGTCCTTGCTGTGGCCTCTGCTCCCATCCCGTGGTGTGGGGTCTTTTGCTTGGTGAGGCAGCTGTACCTGTTCTCAGAATCACAGAATGGTAGAGGTGGGAAGGGACCTCTGGGGATCATCTAGTCCAAACCCCCTGCCAAAGCAGGGTCAACTACAGCAGGCTGCACAGGACCTCATCCACGCGGGTCTGGAATATCTCCAGAGAAGGAGACTCCACAACCTCCCTGGGCAGCCTGTTCCAGGGCTCCGTCACCCTCAGAGGGAAGAAATTCTTCCTCATGTTCAGATAGAACTTCCTGTGCTTCAATTTGTGCCTGTTGCCCCTTGTCCTGTCGCTGGGCACCATTGAAAAGAGTCTGGCCTCATCCTCCTGACACCCACCCTTCAGATATTTGTAGGCGCTCATAAGGTTTCCTCTCAGCCTTCTCTTCTTCAGGCTGAACAAGCCCAGTTCCCTCAGCCTTTTCTCATAGGAGAGATGCTGCAGTCCCCTCATCATCCTCGTAGCCCTCCGCTGGACTCTCTCCAGTAGCTCCTCATCTTTCTTGAACTGGGGAGCCCAGACCTGGACACAGTACTCCAGATGGGGCCTCACTAGGGCAGAGTAGAGGGGGAGGAGAACCTCCTTCAACCTGCTGGCCACACTCCTCTTAATGCACCCCAATCTCCTGTCGCTTCTTCTGTTCTACCTCTCACGCAGTACTGCACCTGGGGCATTTTTTTTCAGGGTGTGCAAGGTGGCGGTCCTGAAGCTTCAAAGAGAGCCGAGAAGTTACTGACCAGTGGAAAGAAAAGAAAGAACTACAGCCTTTCTCTGTATATTTAAAGCTTTTAGCATAGTAACGCAGTAAGAACATCCAAGTAATTTCAAAGCAGAATTAGCAATAACATCTCCTTTTCCCTTTCCGCAAGGGAGAAATGTTTATGGTGTCGCTTGTGTGCGTTAGTTTGCTATTGCTTATCTGTGCGGTGGCAGCGTGCAGCTCTGTGATAACGCTGTGCACCCCCAGCACCGTGGAGCGAGGCTGGCGAGCGGCACTCCCTCCTGTACCTTACCTCTTGTCTCCGTGGGTGCTCTGTACCCCACGCGAAACCAAGACAGGGTGAGGACATGGGTCTGTTTTTGCATGGTGCCTTCGAGGGGCTGTTGTAGCAGACATGTTCTGCGGTGCTGCTTTGGGCTCCTACACGCCTGTCTCTGGGCTGTGTTAGCAGGCTGCCTGTGTCTTTAGTAACCGCTAAAAGAAACTTAAAATGAGTTTTCTTATTTTTCATGACCCAAAATATTGCTGAATCTTTCCTAAGGCACTCAGAGCAATTAGAAATGAGTCCTCTAACACAGTTTTTGTAACTGTAGAAGTTATTTTGCTGGCAAAGGGCATCTTCTGTCCAGCTCCTGTTTGCCTAGGGCATGCCAGGCTTGTCCAACGAGTTACCACTCCCTGCTGCTGCTGAGCTGTGTGTTAATTACATAACCAAACAGCAATGACTTCACAAAAAATCATGTTGTGCTATTCATACACAGATACTGGTGTCAGGTTCATGGTCAGTTCACCAGTGGCCATCTCCATGTTTGCCTGCAGGAGAGATCACCACAGAGAATACCGGTCTTTGCGACACAATGGGCCCAAGGCCCAGCGCCAGCGAGGAAACCAGCCCAAGAGTCACCCACAGGCGAACCCTCCCCGCTGCACAAGCAGGGATCTGCCGAGGGGGTGGAGGAGCTCCAGGGCCTCTGAGCCTGTGGGATTGATGGAGACGTGTCCATCGCCAGGAGGGCCAGGGCTGCCCCTCTGCTACGGCTGCCCCAGCCCTCCGGTGCGGTGCCTCCAGGCACCGGTGATGGGAAAGCTGGGTGGAAGTGTGTGGGGCCCTGAGAGGGAAAGCGTTCTACTGCTGGGACCGCAGATCAACTCGGACACCGGCTGAAACGCGTTAAGAGGGAAGCTCCTCCATTTCCCCTGTGATAGCCCAGGAAAAGCCGGCACGAGGAGCGTGCTCAGCCCAAGGAGGGACCGCCGGGGCCCGCGACGCTCCTCCCGCCCGAGCCCGA